TGGAGAGAGGCACCTCCGCCCTGAGAGAGGGAGCCCTGAGAGAGGAGAGCACTGGTACTGAGGGACAGCAGGGGAACAGGAAGGAGGCCTGTCCTGGGAGACAGACGGACAGGCGACTGGAGGGATGGGGCAGGGAGCCACTGAGGGAGAGAGGAAGATCAGATCTGTGAGGAGGACAGGGCAGAGGGAGCCGGAACACCACGGACTGTCTTGCCTTCCGGGGCTGGTTGGGGTCCCGCCGTTGACCGATGGCTCTCTTAGCAGAGCGTGGTCAAGTTTTCTTTCCACCTCACACAGGTTCCGGCTTCTGCTGGTGTCACCAGGTACGAAAGACAGACGAAAGACCCTGAGGGGAGGACGGGGGAAGGGTGACCACATCATCAGGCAGAGAGAGAAAGAGACGAGGGCTCCCTAGAAGTATGGTGCTCAGAGCTCCCCAGCCCTGGGGGCAGCTTTTCAAGGTTCCGACAGCCGCTTGTACCTCTCTGGGACAGGGCAGATGGACAAAGCAGGAGCACATCTGCAGCTGCCCGGTGTCCTTCGGCATGTTTCAGCGTTATCGTATACCGGTGCTTGTGAGGGTGCCTCTAGCGTCTATTGGTCCAGGACTCCTGGCTGGTTTTTGTTTTGTCATTTCGGAATTTGAGTTTTGTTCTGTATTTTTCTCGTATTTCATCCGGGGGCTTCAATGGTGTTGCTGGTCAGAATGGTCGATAGTATAGCCGGGCACCCTGTAGGTCTTCTGGTTCATGCGGGTTATTAGTTGTACGGACCAGTTTGCTGCTCTGAGCTTTTGATGCCCCCCCCCCCATTCTCATTTGCTCCGAACGAGTCAAGCGCAGTGGTTGTATCTTGGAGGGCTGCTCGCTGGAACTTAAGATGTAACTCCTTAAAGCAGGATGTCAAACATTCTCTTTGAGAGATACTTATGTCCACAGCCTCAGTTTTCCCCACGACGATGGGCCCCAGTCTTTTAACTCCTTAAGCCAATCCTGCGAGGCGGTTGGAAGCCTCCATAACCCCGTCTTCTGTGGTTTTTTATCTATGTGGATCTGCATGTAGGACACACCAACGGGTATACCATACGTCACTCAGCACGATGTCTTCCAGAGGCGTTCGTTCATGTCATACGATGGTTCACAGACTCCTCCCTGTTCTTGATAGGTCTGCAGTATTCCACTGTATGGAGGTATGTGCCCCAATCTGGTGATCCATTCCTCCGTGGATGGGGCTGAGGTTGCTATTGTGAGCAGTGCTGCAATGAACGTGGGTGTGCGTATGTGTGGGGTACCAGCCCCGACAGTCGAATGGGTCCAAGGGGCGGTTGTGTAATTGAGGGGTAAGTTTAAAGAGACGTCAGACAAGATTAAGCTTACAAGTGCTCACCTTCACAGTCATGACCTCAGGAGCCAGGTACGCGCAGAGAGAGCCAATATATTTCCGACCAAGGCTTATAGACACTTGGGGTGTGTGTGTGCAAGTCCCCCTAGTTACAGGTAACCACATAGTTAACAAAGTGGACTGTACCTTAACCCTAGCGGTCCCTGAGGACATTGGAGACTAACCTAACACCAGTGCCAGGGGCAGGTAAGGGGGAGTGGTTGTACGCAGAGCCTAGAGAGCAATAGCAGGTACTATAGATAAAGCTTCCGGCTACACAGCAATCAGCCATGTGCTTGTACGAGGTAACTTTGAGGTAGCCCTATGATGGGAGGATATAGTGGGGGCAATATTAATTCTGAGAATGTGATCGGGACTCCCCTCCAACGCACACGGGTGAAGGCCTCCCTCCACCCCAGAAACGCAGCCTGCCAGGCTTCTTAATGTAAGAGACTAAAGGACGCATCCGTGTCCACTCTCTTCCCGTTCCCTGCTCCCCACATGTATCCATGTATCCAGAATTCACACCGAAGCCCGTTTTGTAATCCTGGTGGGTTTCTATGAAGGACGGGAGAAGTTCCAGGTTTTACAGTCTCAAAGGGGTATACACGATTTCAGGGCAGCGTGCCAAGCCGTGGGTTCACAACTGGACAGGAGCACCCTTGTGGAGCAGGGCATCCACGCGTGCAGAACCGGGGGAGGGAGAGGCTGTGGCACAGCGGGGACCAGAGAGCAAGAGGGGTGAGAGAGAGTGGGGCACGAGAGAGAGCGAAGGGGCGAGAGAGGCTGTGGCCTCAATAGGTCCACACGGGGGAGGGACACCTCACCCTCAGACCTGCCACTGACCAGGAGCAGGGGAAAAGAGAACAGGCTTCCTACAGCCGGGCTATTTCAAACCTCTGGCTGGGGAGGTGTGGTTGCTGGTGTTGACCCCATTGGCTGGGTTGAGCCCACCTGGGTGATATCACAAGCCTGGGCCTAGTTTGGACCATCCAGGTGTACCTGGCTGGGGGGTCTCCATAGGTGTCTAATTTCTTCCCAACCTCCTTTATGGGGTCCTTTGCAGGCATGGCAGGGACAATCCCCTGTCCCTATTCTGGCGACCTAACAGATTCCCTTTGATTTGCTCAGGGCACACACTCTTCACTAGGAGGCTCAAGGATGGGAGAAGGAGAGAGAGCCAAGGGGTCCCTGAGGTCCTGCCCCTTTTTAGGACCAGAGACAGCGCCAGCTGTTTGTGGATGGTGGGTGTGTGGGACCCAGAGCCCTGTGTCCAGTGTAGTTTGGAAAGATGGCCCCCACGGACTCCATCCGGAGTCATCACTGAGCTCAGACAGGAGAGGACCAGGGTGGACACAGGTGGAGGGGAGGAGCCAATCACAGAGCTCCAGGATCTCTGGTTCCTTCTGAGCAGTGCCTGCTCACCTGAACCCTCATCCGCCCGAATCCCGATGGCGCCTGACTTTTCCTGTGAAAAAGAAGCACTCGGCTGTGCCCGCTGTCCATGGGCACGTCCTCTGCCTGGCAGTCTGGGATCCGTGACCCGATGTCACCCTCAACAGCTCCTGGAGCTGGACCTTGGGAGTCCCATTTTGCTGGTGAAAACCTGAGCCTCAGAACACTCAAGTCATGCCCCCAGAGGAACACGACTGCTAACGGCAACACGTGGCTCTTGCTTCCCAAACACGCCGTCTTTCAAAGAAGCACTGCTCCCCAAGCCAGGAATGAGGCCCCTCTGGTAACTGCTCCTTTGTTAGTTTCTTTTGTTGAAATCCCGAGGCTCGGTAGGCAAGTCTTTGTCTTGGTTTGGATCCTTAGAGTAGGGGTCTCAAACAATGTTTGTCCGTTTGTGATGGACACATACCACTGGGCATAATGTTCTCTAGGTCCATCCGTGTCATGAGGTGCTTCGTGGTTTTAGCTTTTCTTATTTTTTTAAGCGATGCATCGAATTCCATTGTGTGTGTGTGTGTGTGTGTAAAAGCTTCTTTATCCATTCTTTTACTGTTGGGCATTTGGGCTGTTTCCAACTTCTTGCTACTGGCAATAGTGCAGCGATGAACACGGGAGTTGGGTTGGTCCAGGTAGACTAGAGAAACACATTCGTTGATATTCATATAAGTGTAAGAGACACCTTTATATCAAAGAGCAATTGTCTATTGATAAAACACTCCAGGTCAATCCAGATCAAGTCCATAAGTCTGATATTAGCCCATATGTCCGATACCTCTTCAGACTCACCCAACATATGCAAGGATGCCGAATGCAGGAAGATCACAGACCACTGGGTAGAAAGTCTGTGGATCCAGTGGCAGTGGAAACATTTCAGCACTGGCATGGGTCTCCACGTGGCTCCTCCAGCTCCAAAGCTCTGGCTGCCATGTGGCTTGTCAGCAGGAAGACAAAACAGAGAGAATGTGGGTCCTGCCTCCAGGGAAGAAGACAGGAATTCCCAGAATCCTCAGGAGAAGGCCATGCCCATACAGAAGCATGATTGGCTATGACCTGATTGACAGGCTAGACTCTACCCCTTCGCTCAAGTTGACAGGCGATTATGTAACTTCCGCAGGAGTACATATGCCTGTTTGTGTCATGGCTCTAATTTCTTTAGGGCTTTGTGTTAGTCTGGGTACTTTAGAGAAACAAATCCACAGAAACTCATGTATAAGAGAGAGTTTTATATAAAGGTTAAGTGTGCATCACAAAAACATCCCAACCCAGTGCTGCCCAAGCCCACAAGTCCAACATTAATCCATTAACCCATATGTCCAACACCAATCCACAAAGTCCTCCTCTATCTCACAAAACAGGTGCAATGATGCTGAATGCAGGAGGAAAGCCGAATCAGTGAATGTGTAAACATTTCAGCAAGGCAGGGTTCTCCACACGGGTGCTCCAGCACCCAGGGCTGCATTGGGGTAGGTCCATATGGCTTCTCCTCAGGGATGTCTTACAAGAAGTGAACCTTGCAAGCTGAAGCAGGGAACTGGCTAAGGCAGCTGCACCCTGGTCTGACCATCAGAAAGCAAGAGACCTGAGAACTAGAAAGGCGAGGATCACCGAGCCATTTATCCCTCTGCCCTTCAATTAACCCCACCTGTGTTTATCGGCCAGGTTGGCACAATAAACGAACTACCTCAGGCATGTACCTAGCAGAAGGATTGCTGGATCATAGGGAACATCTGTTCTCAGGTGTTTGCGGTTCTGTTGTATTGCTTTCTATAATGGTTGTACAGCTATAGCTGCAGACACTTTAATAGTTGAAATGGGCTCAACTCAAGAGGGGCCAATAAACACTCGCTCTGACACAGCTCTGCTTGCTCACCCCCACTTCTGATCTTCCCACAGAGGACATGGCGGAAGGCAAGAATGCCCTCCTCATTGGGATGAGCCAGTGGAATTCCAATGACCTGGTGGAGCAGATTGAGACCATGGGCAAACTGGAGGAGCATCAAGGTGAGCGTCTTCTCTTTGTTGAGCTTGGTGTGGACACATGTGCGTCTGAGGGTGCGATGAAATGCTGGCCTTTTGAGCCTGGGACTTGGCTGTCAATGAGGAGTCACTGCTCTGGGAGCGTCCCCTCTTAGTATATACGAATTCTGTGATTTGGAGGAAGGCTTATGGGTACTCCTGTGGGGTCATCCGTGGGTAAAGAGTCACACGATATTTTTAAAAAGAGCAATGAGCTTCCCTTGTGCATGCAAGAAGGTCCCCAGTCTCAGGGGCATTCAAAGAGAAATGGCGGTTCAGTCGTATCATTTTTTGCCTTCTACGTGGGAAGCCTGCATTCACTTCTTGACCAGTGGCACCTCATGCAGGGCCACTCCTGACCTGGCTGGAGGCTGGAGTGTTGTTACAATGCTGAACAGGCTGTCATGGAGCTTCTGAACTACGAGGGGCTAGGAAGAAAGGCCTGGTGACCGATGTCTGAAAACCAATGACTGAAAAATCCTATGGATCACAGCGGTCGGCTTCCTAACCCACCAAGGGCAGGATGAAGCAGTAGACAGCGCTTTGTGCCTTTGTGCACCGGGTCCCTGAGTTGGGGTCACTTGACAGCAGCCAACAACAACAGCAGCAGCAGCAGCAGTGGCAGCAGCAGTGGCAGTGGTGCAGGGAGTCGGGGAAAGGCGGCCTGGGCACAAGCTTGTGCGACTGGATAGGGTGGAGTGGCAACTGGAGGAACCTTTGAGAAGGGCAGGAGCTGAGGTCTGGGGGAACGGGGCAGCCGAGGGAGGGACGGCTACATCCACTGGCTATGGAAGAAGGAATATGCGGCTGGGCATTAATCCAGCTTTCTTTGTATCCTCGTGTTATTTGTTATAGTGGGTCAAAACTACACACAACAAAGCATTCTCCAATGCCACAACTTCTACATGTATAATTTAGTGCAAATGATTAGACTCTGTGTTGTACAACCATTATTGCTATCCTTTTTCAAGTTATTTCTGCCACCATTAACATAAACTCCGTGTCCCCTAAGCAAAAATGCTTCCTAATACACCCATGTTAACCATTGGTCAAGTTTGGGTTCTTCTCTTTTTAGTAGTTTTGATATAATATTCTCATATCATGCACTTCCATAGTTACATCGCCCTTAAAAAGAGTTGTATATACATCATCACAGTCAGTTCTTTTTTGTTGTTTTGTTTTGTTTTTGTTTGTTTGTTTTTTAATCATTTTATTACGGGCTCATACAACTCTTATCACAATCCATACATACATCAATTGTGTAAAGCGCATTTGTACATTCATTGCCCTCCTCATTCTCAAAACATTTCCTCTCCACTTAAGCCCCCGCATTAGGTCCTCAATTTTCCCCTCCCTCTCCGCTCCCCCCTCCCTCA